TCTTGACTGTTAGCTTGAACTTTGTTTACTATGCATACTTCTATGATGTCTTTTGATGTAGTAGATGTAGCATTAATCCGTATGGGTAGCTAAACAGTTCGCAGGGGTTATTCTCCTCGACTGCTGTTGTAGTTGTTAAGGCACTGGTTTTGTTCCTTATTTTATGGTTGAAAGTTTTTCTACATTCATTTATTTGATCACTAAATTGAATGCATGCTAGAACTAAGGGAGATCTGGAAAGATAAACTTGGTTTGGATTGTTTCAACTTTAACTTATGACATAGAGGTAACAGTCTATGGTTTTAACTAAGATAGGAATATACTTAGTTGACATAAGCATTCTTGAAGGCCTAAAAACTGAAAGACTTTGTAACTGGAATCAATCATTGGAAAATAGATTGTTAAGGTTGCAAAGATGACTCTAGGAAAAATGGGAACTGACTTAGAGTTATAAGTGAGCTGAATGAACAAGAACGTAACCATTACAGTGCTCATAAAACGACTACAACAGTAGGAAGAGGAGAAGACACCCCTGTCTTTTATTCCCCTGAGTGACTGTTTCAATTCCCCTGAGTGACACCTTGTCTGACTGGCAGTGTTTCTTTACAACAAATTTGGTAATTAGCTGTCCTCGTAGGATCGACCTACCTTCCATTATCTACAAAAATCATAATCCAAGCTAGTAATATTTTTGATGAACTCGGCACGCACTAGGAACCTATACTCTTGGCACTTCTTGCAAGAACACTTCTTCTCTTCATATTTCACAGTGTACGTGTTGTCCCCTTTACCACCAAGTCGCGCTCTACTTTTTACCTTGAACTTGCCATTAATAGCACCATAACGGTTGACTTTGTGTTGCACGGCTTTCTTTTCTTTTTTCTTGAAGTCTTCCCACAAGTCAGTTGGGACCGGCGTAATACATTTCCTCGACTTCATGTATTCTTCCTGGAACAAATCCACAGTCTTAATAAAAGTGGCTTCCACCAAAGCTCGAATTGGCAAGAAACGAACGCCCTTGAGGACGTTGTTGTAGCTCTCAGAAATGTTTGTTGTCTGGTTACCCCAACGATAGTGTTTGTCTTTGGTAAGAGTCCATTGACAAGCATCAATCTCCTCCAGATACAAATAAGCATCATTGCTAAAATCACGTAGCTCTTTCCTTAGTTCTTTGAATTTAGACTTAGAAAGTTTCGTGCCCATCTCCCAACACAACCTTTTGATCTTTTTACTTCGAAACTGAGCCACCAAGTTACTACGGACGTGACGAATGCAAAACCGGTGGTATGCATTCCGTTCGGGCATTAGGCGTATTGCACTGATGATACCCTTGTGCCGATCGGATATAACACACACAAGACGGTCGGATATAACATGATTCCTCAAATGCTTCAAGAAGAATGACCAGCTTTCCTCACTCTCTTCATCCACGATCGCATATGCAATTGGCAGGATGCGCTTATTCGCAGTTTTGACCATTGCAGCAAGTAATTTACCTTTGTATCCGCCACGCAAGTGCGTCCTGTCGATACTAATCACCGGAGGACATTTAGCAAAACAATCAATTGCAGGCTTGAATGCCCAAAAAAGGTATTTGAACATCCTCTCTATATCGGTCCAACCCGGTTGCCATTCCCACTCTACAACTGTGCCGGGGTTGCTCTTCTCTAGGGCGGCGAAAAACCTAAATTAAAATAAAAAAAATTAATCCTTTTTTTATTCCTAAATGACAAACAAATCAAAAAAATTAGATAGGACTTAAGTAAATACCTTGGAAGTATGTCAAAATTGGAAACCCAGTCGCCGTAAACAAGAGCGATAGCTTTTCTCCTTCCCTCCCATGCTCTGTGGTAAGGAACATCGACATGCATACGGTCTTTCACTTCTTCATGAACGAGCTTCACTTCATAATCTGGGTCCAACTCAACCTGATGCCTTATGAGATGCGCAATAAGCGTTGCGCTCACATTCCAATTATTATTTTTCTCGGTGACATTCATACAATTGTGCTCGGGCACCCATTTCACAATCTCCCACAAACCGTGGTCTCTCAAGGAGGCACGTACCTTTCAATGGCAAGGAACATAACCCTTAGGGGTTGATTCTTTTAGGGATTTGCACCAAATATACCATGTTGAACCATCACTTTCCTTCACATAAAACTCTCTCTTTTGCTCTATGTTCCATGCTGCAATACCAGTTTTTGCTTCTTCCTTATTCTTGAAACAAGTCCCTATCCCAATTGTTGCGATTGTCCCGTCCCACATGGTAAGTTGAAATTCATCCTTGTCCACTTTTGTATGATCCCATGTACCCTGTGAACGATATATGTGCCTGTCCTTTGTGGCGAATTTGTCTTCGACCTCTTCATCACTCTCCCGACTTCCTTCGGATATTGATTGGTTTTCATCGTTTTGATCACTTATCAATGTGTAGTCCTCATCTTCTTCACCGTGATTATATTCCATGTGATCGCCATCCTCCATAAACGGTCCACCCACATCATCATATTCCATGTCATCGACATTCTCCACGTTCGGCCTACCACTACTTGTCCCTGTTTCCAAATGGGACCTAGAAGTACCCGCCACCTCAATATATGTCGAATTTGGGAGGAAATACAACACTTGCAACGATGCGTCGTCCTTGATTTTGGCGATACGCCTAAAACCATTGCCCATCGTATCATACAAAATCGATAGACTCAAATTCACATTCTCTCTATTCCACCCCGCTCTTTTCACAAATCAGTCCAACCAAATCATTGTACAATAACTTATGATCAATCACAAAGGAATCGTCTGGCATGTTGTTAAAAGTATTCACAATCCCATTCTTCACTACAAATTTGCTCGACCAATAGACATTAATGAAATATGGACCGTTAAACGCCATTTATATCTGTTGATTACATGAATTACAACTATTCATGAACAAATTATTAAAAAAAATGACACAAACAAGGCATTATCAAACAACTTATTATAACAATTACCACAAACAAGGCATAATCAACACTAAATTTACTAAACCCCCTACAAATTCAAAAGTTTAGGCCAAATTCAAGCATTTTACTAAATTGAACGTTCAATACCACGTATACAACAACAATCATCAACTACACCCAACATCAACCCTAAAACCTTATAAATCATCCTAATTCTACACTTTTACAAAGAAAATAACAACAATAATTCTAAATACATCAAAACATTAACTAACCTTCTGGTGAAATGGTTTTAAGACATCCGTTGCGAAGAATCGTGAACAAAATTTTCAAATCGCCACTAAAATCACCTCCTCCTTCAAGAAATAGCCTCTTTTACCAAAAATCCCGATATGTGAATAGTGTTTTCCGTCGCCCCATTATAACACAAAAAGGTCGGATTTCTAAAATTCGAGTTTATAAGTAAAATCGGATTTAGGAAATCCGATTTAGTAGGAAGGCCGGAATTCAAGAATTCGACTTTTTGCCAGCTAATAACGTCCATCCAATGCCGATATCTACTGTTAGGTATGCTTAAACAAGGTCGGATTTTGTAAATCCGACCTTGCACTTCTTAATTTTCAAATCTCCCGCCTATATTTTTTTAATAAAAATAAACAAGGTCGGATTCCTAAAATCCGACCTTTTACAGTTCATTATTTGACTTTCAATACATTTTTCTCACATGTATTTTCCGAAAAAAAATTTTATTTAATTAAATCGGATTCGTTAAATCCGAACTACTAATTTAATAGTAGATCGGATTTTGTAAATTCGATCTCCACATTTTGCTTTACAAAAAAAAATATATATAGATCTCTCTACTCCTTTTTCTAGTAGATTTTTTAACCAAACCCCCCGATCGCTAAGGGCCTTAGCGGATCGCATCATGGAGGATGGCGGTGCAGTGGATCCGGAATTGTTGCACTTCCCAGAATTTGAGAATATTGATCATCCATCTCTTTTTCCTGGTCCTTTAGAGAACACCATTGTTCAAGGGCCTATTCCTGAAGTGCCGCCGCGTGATGTGTAGGTGTACTCCAGGGTTATCTTTGTAAGAAGATAGAGTAGATCATGTTTGTATCAAGGCCTGAGGCCTTATCCTCCTTGTTTTGCCTGAATGGAAAGTGAGCTTGATGTTGCTTCTATCCTTGTTGTTGATTTATATTCTGTTTCCATTTGGACCATTTTTACAAAGTTGCGTCCGAGTTGGGAAAACTTTGTTGTCCGTGCTCAAATATTTGGACGCGGCACGACGCCGCTGCTTTGTTATCTGGCCACTCGCGTTTGGGCTAGGCCAGATGCGATCCCTGGTTTCCCGATCTACGATTTTGTACAACTCTCAAACAACCGATTACAGAGTTGTATGCCATTTTATCTAATCAGATGATCAATGTGACGTAGATCGGCAATTCAACAGTACCGATGAACGAGATCAAAGTCCGATAATGCAAGAACCTTTAAGTCTCGGGGGTGGGGGGGGGGGGGCAGGCCATTTTTAGCAATCGGTTGCATCAATTTGATGGTTATGATTGGCTCGATGGTGGTCAGAGCAATGCATAAGTTCTATTCGAAGATGGTGGACAACAATCTACAGCCTTTGATCATAAGTCCCGACAGTTTCAGCAGCTAACGGTGACCTTTTAACAGCTGACGTTGCTGTCACAGCAGAGTTAGCTATCACCGATGCATATCCAGGAGTTCCATTCACGGCTAGTAGATTTTCAGTAAGCCGATCGGTGGACAACACAATCTATGGAGTTGCAATCAATCCAGTCCCAGCAGTCGCCAATGGGGTCTTCACAGATTCAGCTATCATCGGCACCGGACCAGCATGTTTTCTTGCAACCTATTCAACATCATGATTCAACAACGGAACAGATCCAATAGACGCAATCACATGTCCACCAGCCATATGCATTGCTGATAGAGTATCAAGATATTTAGTTGCCATCCGGACTGATCCGACGGGTTTGGTCACAACCGAAAAAGCCTCAGCAGACTGATCAATCGATTATGCCATTACAGTCCCAGCAGTTGACAGAGTCTCTAGAATCAGCTCAGCATCAATCATTGGCAGAGATCCAGCCTCAATCAGTTCATGAGATTTCACAGTCAGTTCAGTCTCAGACGCAGTTACAACTTCCGCAATTGATACAGTCAACAGAGTCATAGTCATCATCAACGGAGTCTTGACCAACCGATCAGATAGCAACGTAGTTGAATGAGATGTCATTACAGCCATTGTTGCAAGCACAAAAACCATTGGTGCGACTTTAGTAGATTTAGCCATCTCCAGTGCAATCCGAGCAAGCCGGTCCATCTATAGCACCGATCCAACAACCGCTGGTACAGTCTCAACTGGAGTAATAATCGATGACACAAATCCAGCAAATACAACAGCTATTATGGATGCGACAATTACGGGTATCACACCAAGAGTTGCAATCGTCATCAAGAGTGTCTCGGCAAGTGGAGCAATCAATGATAAAGTTGCAGCAGTCATCATTAGAATATTAGCAAGTGCAGCAATCGGCAGTGGGAACCAATCATCCTTAGTACGTTATCAACTGATCGCACGATGAATAGATCAACATCTTCAACATGAAACGATACGGTTTCAAGAATTGGTGGAGTTGCATTTACTGAATCTTCAAGGTTCTAAATTACTCTTAACGGCACAAAACCAGCGGTTGGTGCCGATAGAGCAAATACAGGCTAAGGAGTTCCAGTCATCATCAGATCAAGATCAAGAACAAGTGATGTAATCCCATCAGTTTCAGCAACAGTTAACGGCGTTCCATAAGCAGGTGATGCCGATCAAACTGAAGACGATGCCAATCAAAGAGTTCCACGAGTCAATGGAACAGTTTAGAAACAGATGGTTTGTAGCAATGGGGTTGACCGACAAATGGTGCCAAGTAGATCTTTTCAGAGTTTGTCTCAGTTGGAACAAGGTCAGTTGCAAGAATCACTTTTGCCGATTTATGTGCTAATACCATCAATGAAGAATCAATCATGAGTGCCGCTGGAGCAGAATCGGTGTCCGACATTCTTAACGCATGACCGGTTGTTTCAGTATTTACATTCGCATCACCAACAATACTCAGATTCTAGACAAATCTACCTGACTGATGATTCCACAGTTGCACAGTATGTTCAAGACAAATGGTTGGTTGACAAGAAGCAGATTTGTGTAGGTACCAGTTATTGTGATGCCGGTCGAAGCGGCGATGGGTTCCAAAGAATTCATAAATGGGATCAACAATCCAGAATGTTGTTACTGACTGATAAAGGGCTGACTAATTCCGATGGCTGCTATTCTCAAGAAATTTATTTGATGCCCAGTGGGCAAGTTGAGGATGATAAATCTTGCTTATTGGACACTCAAGACCTGCAGTTTGAGCGGACTAAATTAGCAGGCTACAATGATACACATCAACTTGGTGTTGTTTGTTCCACGAATCCTTACACACTCAGTTTAGAAGGTATGGGTACTTGTCAATATCATGTTGATTCAATTTTTCAGTTTGGCTTTGTGATTGTTAGTAGAGGTGATAGAGGCTAGCTTGGAAGATATCCATCATCCATGTTTAATGTAAGTGGGTTGGTCTAGATTGATGATAACCGAAGTAAGTTTCATACATTCATGGTGAACATGGAAGAAATGTTTGATGGTTTGAGAAAAGACATGGAGGCTTGTATGAGGAAATTTGGTAGTATGGTGCAACACGTGTTCCAAGTTTCAACGGTGGAGATAGCAATTGAATCTTTATGTTTTTGGATTTTAAGATTGGGTTGACCTACAAAGCGGATATGTCAAGTTTACAAGCAGTGAGGGGATAGACGAGGAAATTGATTGCAGAGACCGATATAATGCAAAACCTCAAGACCATGGTGATAACAGCTTTACAGACCATTTGACGAAATTATGGGTCATCGATGTCAAGGCCATTTGACGATACGCAAGATCGATGTAGTTGAAACATGTGAAACGAAGTTGTCATCAATTGAATATAGTTTGAGAGATGTGGATTGAGTCTCAATGATCATGGTCATATTTGGCATTCTGGCCCATCCCATCAGGTTTCGAGTTCCTCGCTATTGGAGCACGAAGAACAAGGTTGTTTGAATTTAGCCGGGGTTCATTTTGCTACCACGAGTAAAATGAAGTTGTCATCAATTGAAGGTAGCTCAAGGAACGTGTTTCAAGATCAAAAGAACGAGTTTTCTGATGATAGCCATGTTCGACAGTCTAGTTTTATAGCCGATATAGCTTTAGATTCTTCAAAACCTAGTAACCAAGAACATGGCCGATTGATAATGCTTCATAGTGATGAGAATAGAGACACTTCGCCGACAGTTCATGAAATGTCAACAATCTGCAATAGTTGGCAGAATGGGGCAGCCGCCGCTTCAACTTCTATTTCTTCACAGTTTAATCAACAAAATAAAGGCGTACTAACGACACTCAGTGTTGATCAAGCCCAAACAAGCACAACCACATCATTGGTGGCTAGTGAAGTATCCGCAAAATTTATTGGCAATGATAGTGATCAAAATCGGCAGCTTGATTCGTCGGCTGATTCTGTTTCTCTTGAGCAACTAGATCAAGACCGTTTGAAGACACAAGAGGAGGAACGGGCTAATATGGGCAATACCAAGTTGCCGGAAGTGAAGAGTGTCTCAGAAAAGGTGGTTGGTTGCAATGAAGAGCAAAATTGGCAGACCGATTCTAGTAGCTGTCAACTTCAACGAACGATTGCTTCTTCACAAGCCAAAAGATGCTCCAATACTGCATGGATTTATGACAAGCGAGGTTCCACAAGTTCCAACAATAAAAGCCGTAAAGATAAGTCCACGCTTCATTCTTTTTGTCACGCCGATAGAGCCAAGTCTTGTGTTGATGCCGAATCCGATGAGAATCAAGAGGAGAGATACATTGCTTGGCTGGATTATAGTGCAGCTGTAGAATGGAAGTTTGAGTTAACCGCTGATCAGAGATTCCTAAAATCATTAGTTAGTCAAGAGGAAAGGCGTTGCACTCGAGCTTATGCTAAAATTTTTGGGTCTACACCAAAGAGGATTAGAGCATTTTATGTTGAAAAGATAGTGGCCAAAAAGGATGATGATATGAAGCCAAAGGTTGATGCGAATAGCGATGGCAACAAGGATAATCATTTAAAGGAGGATGACATGTTGGAAAAGGGTCAAGCGCAGCTGAAATTTGTTAAGCCGATTGAAGAGCAACAGATTCAATCACAGTTAAAAGATGATCAGTTGGTTCATGCGACATTAAGTGAGACCAATTTGGCATCAACAATCAACAAAGAAAAGAGCTGCAAGCAGACCGGTTCAAATACAGTTAGTGGTTCTGCCATCTCTTGCCCAGTTTTCATACAGTTTGGCAGTCAACCTGAGGTAAGATGCGACCAGCCAATTACTTTTCTATTGATTTTGCAAGGTCAAGATTTGTTAGTAGTGACTGTCAAGGAAGGTGCCAAGGAAAATGGTTCTGATATAGTCAGTAGTGCTACCACAACAAATCCAGTTCTTAAGAAGTTTAACTACCAATTTGAGGTGCGGCACGAGAGGGTGACTACTTCTTCATTGAATTTTCAATGCCGACACTTATCAATCGTTACAAAGGAGGTCAAGAACAAAGGTGCCGTTCCTGATGTTAAAGTTCAAGATGTCGAGAAGCAAAAAGTGAGCAGTGCTTTTAGTTCTCCTACTTCGAATGGCTGATTCAGTCCAAAATCGGGCCTTGCTGTTAACATGGCTCAAGAATAGAAGAACTGTAGAAGCTATCCGTGAAGGCAAAGATCACAAGAGTTTAGGTCTAGGTCCAGTTCTAGAACTGATAGTGGTTTTAAGGGGAAGCCTCAGGTGTCACATAGAAGTAAGCATGCACCATTCTTTAATCCGTATTATCCACATTATGCGTGGGTACCATATTACGGTATGTATCCCGTGGGATGGTGTTTTGTTGATCTAAGGGCCACGTGGAATGCATCTGCCTTGTGGTAGTAATGTGTTGATCAACGTTCATATCAAAGGCATATTTAATATCAACGTTCGGGGGGCATTATGTTTGGCCAGTTTTTGGCAAATCGGGCCGACGAGAGACATGAGTCCTGGCCCAGGAGTTTTGATGGATTTATATGATAATGGCTGAGATTTTAAGGCCCTAAAATAGCCCAAAAGAGGGCATGGTACGTTTGGAAGCAAAATGGGCTGGTTGAGTATGAACAGTTTCAGAATTTGAGAAAGAAAGTAGAAGCCAAGTGGGAATAGAATTATTCCAGAATCGTCTGCGTGATTAATTGACAATTACTGAAGATTCCTCCTTATTTCTTGCTCCTTTTTAATAAGGAAAATTACCAGCAATGAAAGAGATATATTTGGGAAAGAATTATATTACCAAATTAAGAGCTGATTGTGAGAAGAGTCATCAACCGATTGGGAGACTTTTTTTTTTTTTGGTAAACTGTAAATATATATTCAGCATCAAACTTTGAGTTTAGCATATTTACAACCAAAAAGGCCTATGTACAAACTCCCTACTCAAACCCACCCTACTCAAACACTCTATACTCAGTTTAAATCTGCTATCCAAAAAGTTGGTTCAAAATTGTTTTTCCCCCCTCTTTTCCTGCCTACTATTACTTGCTCTATTCTCCACCATAGCTCCTGTTTAATACAGGTGACCACATCTTTTACCTGCCTCTGCTTGCCTGTAAAAATACGACCATTCCGCTCCGCCCATATATAATAAACCACTGCCACCATGGCTGCATATCAAATCTGTTTTCTCAGTTTTGATTTCCTTCACATTGTCAAAACTCTATGTCTCCATACCCTTTGGTTCTCAAAAATCCTCAGTGCTCCTAACCAACTCCCCATATCCATCAGTAGCTCCTTTGCCCAAGCACATTCAAAAAATAAATGATTTGAAGTTTTAGGAACAGCCTGACAGATGCCACACTCTGCTGATCCACTTAACAGCTGCATAGATGCCAGTCTCTGTCTTGTTAAAAGTCTGCCCTCCCAAAACAGCCAAGCTATGAAACTATGCATGGGTACATTCATTCTAGACCATATCATATGTGCAGCAGGCATTTTACCAACATCACCCATCAACCATCTATAACAGGAAGAAATTGAGAATTTACCTGAGCTGGTATGTTTCCATTTTCCACCTTCTATTTCAGTTTTCATTATATCCTTCAAGGCCAATAACTTCCTCCATTGCCAGCTTATATCCTGTTTTGCTTTCAGCAACCAGAAATTCCTCCCTTTTATATATCTTTCATGTATCCATTTCACCCACAGATTGTCTTCCTTCATAGCTATTTGCCAAATATGTTTCATCAAAGCAGCATCATTCCATGTTCTAGCATCTCTTATACTCAGGCCACCTTCAGCTTTAGTTTTTCATACCTGCTCCCAACCAACAAGTGAGGTTCCCCTTCCTGACTCCTTGGCACCCCACAAAAAGGTTCTGCATATCCTATTTATCTAGTTTGTTAGACTCTGAGGGAGCATAAAAGTCTGTGCCCAAAAGTTTTTAATAGCAAGCAAGACTGTATTTATCAATTGCAATCTACCACTGTAACTCAGGTGTCTTGAACTCCAACACTTGATCTTGGCAGCCATCTTCTGGACCAATTCATCACATTCTATTTGTGTCCATTTTCTTGGTGACAATGGCAGTCCCAAATATTTGACACGGAAATTACCTTCCCTGAAACCAGTAATCTGACAAATATTCTGCTTTACTTCATCTAATACACCTCCAAAATATACCCCTGATTTAGCTTGATTAGCTACCAGTCTTGTACACTCAGAGAATTTCTTTAATACTTTACAAATCTTCCTGACAGTGAACTCATCTGCTTTCAGAAAATCATCAAATCATCTGCAAAGCAGATGTTGGTGATTTTAAGAGTCTTACACTAGGGGTGAAACTTGAACTTTATATCCTCAGTTGCATCCTTCAAAAGTCTAGTTAAGTAATCCATAATCATCACAAAAATGAGTGGTGATATAGGATCGCCTTGTCTTAGACCCCTTCTTCGCTGGAAGTACCCACAACTCTCCCCATTAATATTGACTGAGTAGGACGTTGTTTTGATACATTCCATTATCTTATTTGCAAACGACTTTGGAAAGCCATAACCATCAAGCATTTCTGCCACAAAGCTCCACTCAACCGAATCATATGCCTTCCTAATATCGATCTTCACCATACACCTCCCACTTATATTCTTGCGTCCATAATTCCTTACGAATTCCTGAGTTAGCTGAATATTGTGTAAGATCAACCTTCTGCTAACAAAGGCACTTTGGTTATCATCAATCAGGTCAGGTAGCACCCCTTTCAATCTTTCACTTAGGATCTTGGAGATATACTTATAGATGACGTTGCAGCATGAGATCGGCCTGTATTCTGCTGCATTTTGCGGGTTCTCAACTTTGGAATGAATGACAGCATAGTGGAGTTGATCTGCTTCAACATTTTTCCATTCTCAAAGAACTCTTTGACTGCTGCCACAATATCATCCTTAATGACACACCATGCTCCCCTGTAAAAGCCACTTCCATACCCATCTGTCCTGGACTCTTACAACTATGAATCCCCCAAATGGCATTTTTAACTTCTTTCTCTGTCACTTCTTTCACACAGTTGTTGTTCCCAGATTAAAGTAGCTCCTTTCAGAAATATCCTGTCTTCAGCTACTTTCCTCTGGGTACTTTGCCCTAACTGCTTCTGGAAGAAGTCAATGAAATGTTGTTTGATCTTGTCCCACTTGCATTCAATCATGCCATCCTCTGCCACTATAGAATTGATCCGGTTCCTAGCTGTTCTGACTCTCACTCTTGCATGGAAATAAGCAGAGTTTGAGTCACCCTGCTTAATCCCTTGTTCTTTTGCTTTTTGAAACAGGAAACTCTCTGAAGCTATGGTGGCCTGTATAAATTGCTAATACATCTCTTTCTCCTTTGCTTGTAGTACTTCATCTTGAGGCCTATGACTCAATTCCTCTGGCAGTTGTTGCAATTGCTCCCTGAGTTGATCTGCTTTGATTTGGATATCAGCAAATTTTGTGCGATTCAGTTGTTTCAAATCAGCCTTGAGTCTCTTGAGTTTCCACACCACCTGATACATTTTAACTCTTCCATCTTCCTGTTTCCACCCCTTCTCAACAATCCTGAGAAAATCAGCATCATTGCACCACATGTTAAAAAATTTAAAAGGAACTGGATTCCTTACCCTTCCACTATCCAGTTGAACTAGTATAGGAGAATGGTCTGAGATTCCAGCTGCCATTACTGTACAGATTGAATTTGGAAACTGCATCATCTAGTGCTCATTGCTCAAAGCCCTATCAATTTTTGACCAAATCCTTCCATTCCCCACCTGTTTGTTTTTCCAGGTAAACCTACATCCTTACTGCTTTATATCTTGCATCTCACATTCCTCTATGCATCTTCGCATCCCTTGAATCTCAGTCAGGCTTACACCATGTCCTCCCAACCTTTCCTCCCTTTGCATCACATTGTTAAAATCCCCAATCACTACCCAGCTTCCATCAACTGTCCCAGATAAACCAATTAAGGTTTCCCATAACTCTTCCCTCTCCCCACCTTGGTTAGATCCATACACAGCTGTACAAAAGAAACTTCCATCCCCTTGTCTTGCTTCAACTTAGCAATGCATATATTGCACTCCCTGTTGGATCACATTCACTTTTAATATACTATGCTGCCATATTATACCAATTCTCCCCTTGTTTCCATCTTGAGAGTTAACCACATATCCACACCCAGGCCATGTTCTTTTCACCATTTCATCAAAGGCATGCAGTGTCATTTTAGTTTCTACTACTACCATCATGTCTACATTATATAGTCTATATAACCTACTTAACTCCCTCTGTTTATTGAAACCATTTAGGCCTCTAATGTTCCAATGTAGGAGACTATTCATGATTACCTGGATCATACGGAGCATCCACCTTAGCCTCAGCATGTTCTGAAGTCAAGTTTAGTTGATGTTGAGTATCCTTCTTCCCTTCTATAGGTTGCAGCTCTTCATCCACTTCTATCAAGATATGGAAACCTAGACTAGTTGTCATCTTCTCCTTGCCTTTGCTCCTTTGAATCATTTCCCCTTTCCCTACTTGTATTTTTGCTTCCTCTTTTAGAACTTCTTCTGAGATGGTCATTGTTTTATTATGCTTAAGCACCTGTTTCCATTCCATAGTAGCATTGGTCTTTCTACATCAACCAACACCCTAGCAAAATTTGCTCTGTCCCTCGCTGTACTACAACTATCAGCTGCTATAGGTTTGCCAAGTGTACTAGCAATTCTACCTAATGTAGCCGGATTCCAGTACTTCAGCTCTAAGCCATGAAATTGTAACCACACAGGTACATGCTTCACTTCCTTATGATTAACCCTCTACCTACTCTCCATGGTTTGACAATAACAGGATTTGATCCTAGATATGTTATAGGTTCTTTCATAGCTTCCCCAGCATCATCAACAGACTTAAATCAAAAAACATACAAACCATTGGGTAAGACCAGTACCTTATCAACGCCAATGTGCTTCCATATCCTTCTGTAGTATGAGTCCATGACTTTAAATGGTGGATTTGCTCCCAGAACGAAGCTCAGAACCGAGGATTCCCAATACTCAATCTCTGGCGTCAAATCCTTCTCCTGAACCCTAGCAATCTTCTTCCCTTCCTTCTCCGCAGGAGCAAAGTAATCCAAAGGAATAACAGCATTTTTGAACCTTTTAGATCAAAATTCTTAAAAAGGGTATTGGAAAAATCAAAATTATTCTCAAGTGTATTAGCATTTTTATTCTTTTTCAGAAATTTCTTAAATTCAACTAATGTTTTATGAAAATGTAAAAAACTACTTTATCCTTTTTTATATCATGGCACCTTCATCAGAAATAAATGGAGTGTCGTTTGTACGCGAAAGCCACAGCTCTAAAAATTGTGGACATTTTGCTCTTTCCACAACGCTACTTAATAAATACTTGTTGTCATGTTATTGTCCTTGGCACCATGGGCCAAATCAGCATAACTTATATAAGAAAAGAAAACCCATATGGACATGATTATTAGCCAGACCACTTAGGAGTTAGGGCTAACAAAATAAAGCACAATATCCCGATCAAAAACTCCTCATGGAATTATAGTGAGTACCATTCTTGACATTCTTCACATTTTCGGAAGACATGATTATTCTAATCTTGTGAATTTGCTAGTAGAGCTCCTCCAAACCAAGTTTGGTAGGTTTCAAAGCGGCTACCCCATTTTGATTTTCCTTTCCTTTTAATCTTTTGCTGGGAGGCTTCTAAGTTCTTACTCATATTTTAATTTGGATCAGTAAAACTGGTGCCCTTTTTGAGTATCATGGAGCACAACCAGCTTTTTTAAGTATTATTAAACATTTGTTAGATACCAATAGGATTTGTAACTACAACATCTTAAGGGTCCAGTAGATGGAGAGGGTTAACACAAAAGTGGATGTATTAGAAGAAAATTGGTATTGGTATAAAATAAAAATAGACCAGAAGTAAAGGATTGGAGAAACTACATTTCTGTATTTTTCCTTAATGAATCAATTAGATCACCATCCCTTTTATAAGCCTAGTTTACATATTTGATAAACATTAATAAACTAACTAAATTTATTTAAATAATAAAGATAAAGAGTGATCACTATAAGCAATTAGATTGAAATTACTCTAAGACTTCATGGCAACAGACTATTTTTCTTGTGCTCTATCTTTAACAGTGTTAACACTAACTCAGAGGTAAAAATGTTCAATAATTGAAACCCCTAACCGATCAATGAAAAATATTGACTACTTAATAATTCAACGATAACCGTCCAATAAGCCAGGCCAAATCAAGCACAAATTAAAATGGATATGATTAAGTAATGAGATCCGACTTTTGGTTTGACGGATTAAAGAACAAGTTTTGGAAAAGAAAGAACTAAAATGGTGCACCCCAAGAACGCCAAACCAAATGGAAAAATGTTATCACTCGTCATAACTCTCTTACTAGTCTCTTTCGAAAACATTATCGAGCATTACACATAGTTATTCAAAACTCATGTTGATCTTGCATTGCAAACAAGGAACGTGTTAATAAGCAACAATCTATAAAGAAATAAGTAAATCGAATTGAACAAAAAAGAAAGGGGAATCAACAAGAACACAAAATAAGTGGTAAAGGCATTGGACTAGTTTAACTGTAACCTAGAATCAAACTCATACGTTGGCATGTGTTTTGCCTCTCGAAAGAATCTACACGGCTTGAATCCTTATAAGTCGTAATAATAATTTCAGATACCGAATGCGTAGTGTATGACGAAGTATGGATCTGCACCAACGTCTTCGGTTGGTTGAACCGGCGGCCATGGCAGAGTCAAAACCCTAAAACCTGCAAAAGAAAGCGTCTCTCGAATATAGACACTCTGATGCTTAAGTCAGTAAAAGTAATTGTAATAGGGTATGAATTGTGGTGCGTAGAGTGTGCCTTTGATGTGAGGGTTGATCCCTATTTATAGAGCTAGGTTATGAAACCCTTTCTTGGTAGGAAAGTAATATGGAACCGACCTAGAAGCTTCTAAGGGCCAGTTGAACCGTTTGCCGAACTTGGGCTGGCCTAGTCGCGGGTCGTATCAATTTGGACTCATCAAGTACTCCTTATCAAGCCTATACTTCGAAGTCTGAAGATACTTCGAAGTTTGAAGATAGAGTAGGCTTGTTAATATGAAGTATATAGTTTCTTCAAGTTTGGGAAGAACTGACTTGAATCGAGAACCTGCGACAGGTTAGCATCGAGGAGAAATCAAAAGCCATGAAAGCATCAGCGTGTACCTTGTCGAATGTATGCGTCATAAAGGGTGATTGACATTTACGCTAATTTGTAAAGAAAAAAGAGTCATCAGTTCAAGTCTTCGAGTGGGAAGTCGATAGGTGATGACCTTAATAATCTGCCCCATAAAGATACTAAGGCAGATACCCTGTTGCTTGAGAAGGTAATAAAGGAGTGTAATGGAGATTCCCATTACCCCAAATGCAGAGATGCGCTATCAATAAATTTCAAAGATACAACAACTGCCGGAACGAAGAATCTGTTTGAAGATTGCAATTCACGTCATTGACCCAGGCGTTAGTCGAGAAGGCCTTGCGTGATGACTTCCATGTTATGCTCCAGGGAAATATCAAAACAGGTACCCCATTCGTTAAGAGAATCAAGAAAGAAACATAGTGGAGATTCCCATTAGTCTCAAAATTTGTGTCTTAGCAGCGGCTAAGATATATCAACTGTAGGACTGAGAAGTCTAGTGGGGGAATGTGACGTAAGCTTCTAATCAAGAGGTAATAGACCCAACCCTCGAGAACAACCACTAAGTGGTGGATTGAGAAGCATCACGAATGAAGGCAGAGAATACTCGATGTCGAGGACATAAGTTTAAGAATGAACACTGTCTGGGATTGAACCGCATGTCGAGAACTTGTCTAACATAATCTCTTCTGTAAAGAAATGTTAAGGACCCCGGAGATTTGAATAGACCAGCTCGAGTGTAGTAGAGCATTTAAAGAGTCGAGACTATCACCATAAGCATCCTTGATTGTCGAGGAGGGATAGAAGAGAGTAGAAGACACCGTAGAAGATGCCGCATGTGATTACGTCAATGCAGGGATAGTAAGACACGAGAAGATTCTCTCGAGTAGAGATCCAGTTAAAACTCAAGAATTGTAACTATCTGACCTTGAAGAAGGTACACAAGTATTTAAGCTAATTTATATCCGCCCAACCGACCCTGTTGCCATTTCTCATGTCCCGAGAAATGAAGCATAGAGCCCTTAGTCCGGGTTTAAGAAGTATAAATCAGGTTGATGTGTCGAACCCGAGTAGATGTATAATGTCGTGGCCTGAGATTCGAGCAAGAATCGAGGAGGTATTATGCATTTAGTGTGAGAAGAAATGATGCCCCAGTCCGAGCATTAAGTGAAGACCATAGGTAATAGTCATAGGAAGAGATCCATAGACCCAAGATCATTACGGAAAAAACAAAAACACAACCTCCCAAACACCTTCAAATACCTTACATACCTTCCAGACGCCTTACAATCTCTCATATATAAACGATCCTCGTTATAGATAACTCCAGAGCCATTACTCATCTCGGAGCCCCCAAGTCTTGGGGTGGCATTTGGCAGACCGAGACTTTTGAGATAAGAATAGTACGAGAGTGTAATTTTCGCTGCTCAGTTCGAGGCGATGCCTGCTCAAGAAGCCCCCACACACAGGGGTAAGGTAGTAAAATGGCGTCTAACAGAAGGAGATGGATGATAACCACCATAATAGAAGAAATAGGCCTGTATTGACGAGGCACAAAGTGAACTCGAGAACATCGAGAATAAAGTCATTTACATTCTGATGTATTGGATGATATGATAGATCGATCCAAGGAAGTATACTCGAGAACAAGTCTAGTTCTCATTGAGGTATAAAACGTGTGTGTTTAGGTTCGTGGGATTGTCCACCCCTTGTTCAGGAACATAACAATCTAGGCCTTTCTCAATACCGGATGTCGAATACACGGCTTATGAGTTATTTGTAAAGCGCTTATAATGGCCAGATGTTAAGTACACGACTCTTTTGCAGGCGATCCTGAAGAGGATACCTTTGTATAGACGATTCTGAAGAGAATGTCTTTTTAAGGACGATCCTGAAGAGGATATCCCGAGGAAACTTGGTGGGCATATAAGATCTGTGTATGGCTTAAAATTAAACAAGTAAGCAAGTGAATTTTGATATAAAATATGGCAAGTAGTTTTTAATAATGGGTGAACCATGCATGCCATGCAATTTATAAGTGTTATTGAAATATTTTTCAAGGACTTTTATGTTTGCTATGATGGCAAAGAGGGATTGACTCATATATGTATGTGAAAAAACCTAATAAGGTAACATACGATCGACATGTGATTTTTATAATACTGTAGCAACAACAGACTTTAAGGAGGTCTAGTATTTGAAGTGATGCATAATGATGCCTAAGACATGTGGAAGGCAATGATGTATAAAAAGAACTTATCTGTATGCTCGAATAAGTCCTTATGAGATGGTCCGAAAATGGTGTCATCGGACCCAAGTATTACGATATTGAGTTTCTTTGAATG